AGCGCCTCCCCTCCCAAATGGGTGACATCAGAAAAAAAGAAGAACGAAAAAGAGAAGGCTCTTCGCAAAATCGAGTTGTACTCGTAAATTTTCAAGTTAGTGCCACCGACCCGTCGTCAGACGAAATGAACAGAGAAGAAAGTGAGATGGGCAGACTAGGTCGGCTGACGCGACAGGACAGACAACAACAAGCAGACAGCGGATGCGTGAAATGAGTGGGCACCGAGTTGTAGTAAGCTTTGGGGCGGGGGGAAGGAAGGGAGAACCGTTAGGGCTTCCTGCGTTGGAGGTGGAGAAGGAGGCGATTGGCTAAACAACGACTTCGCGGTACGTGCGTACCGCAACGTTTGTTTTGTAATCCTGGTATTTTAGCGGCTATTTTACGTCTCATGCATATTAAACCTATTGTGAAGGCAGATATAGAGACCTATCTGTAAGCAAATAAAGAGATCCACCTCCGAAATCTAGTCAAAACCCCCACAATAAATAGCCAAGTTGTATGGCTAAATAATATCGTAATAATCCCACGGGTAATCAGAAAACGCACAATAAAGTTACAAATCATTGAAGAAAAATAACTTACAGGCAGATTATTGTCTGCCTGGAAGCACCGAGATAACTGCACTAGATTTTATTTTATTTTGTTGATTTGGTGGAAATCCGCAACCAGGCAGAGGCTGTGATTTATACACGGAAAACCCCAGGTCCCATCTTAATATAGCGCAAAAGCAAGAAGGAGCGCTAAACAAAGAAAAAAATCTGCTAGGGAAAAAATTTCAAGACCAGGTTTCCAAGCGAGCGTTGCAGGACGTGCATACCGCGAATCCGTTTTCTACTCACTCCCGAGAAGGAGCGGGGGAATTGTGTATCACTGGGAGTGCGGGCAACTGGCTAGTGATGCGGGATGAGGTCAGGGGGCGATACGCCGGCGATGGAGCTGTTAGGGCTTGTGTCCCGCGTCGCGAGGGGGGGTGGTAAGTGGCGAGACAGCATAACTCTGCGTGGCCGAGAAGGATAGCAGTTGTTAGGGCGTGGGGACAAGTCAGTGAACGTGTACGTAAACCATCGTAGTGAGCGTCTAGATTGACGTGGCGGCTGATGCTGGTCGTGCCAGAAAGTCAAGCTTCGCGCAATTCTCGCGCCTATCTGGTGTTAGCCATTGCGATCGCTTCAGTACCGTTCCGATTTAAGTGGTGGTCATACTCTACGGCGTGCGCAAACACGAGAGACAGAGAGTTACGTTGACGGAGGGCTAACTTGCGCTCGTTAATGCGAGTCCCAGGACATCGGCTTCTATGGCCAATATAAACACAAGGGCAGTTGGCGCACGGGATGCGGTAGATCAGTCAGTATATTTGGAGTAAACAACAGAAGCCATGAAAACTCCATTTAGAGGGTACAGGTATAAAGTAAAATAGTTAAATTGCAAAACTTTTGCTTGCAGTTTTAGTAGGAGAATTCATAAATCTAATAATGTAACATGAAGGTGAAAGGGGTATTATATTCGCAAAATAATTGCGAAAAACTTTGTTCACCACATTCGGACTGTGAAAAGTTCAATATGGGCTAAGTTTGACGCAAAAAATAGGATCTGTTGAAATCCTCTGAGTAGTATATTTATAGTCATTTCAATAATCCGTTAGATCAGGCTTCGGCAGTTTGGGTTGCGTTTCAGCAGGTGAGTATCCAGTTGTCTCTTGAACACGTTAACGGTAGGGGAATTAACAACAAACTCCGGCAAAGAGTTCCATTGGCGAATGACCCTCTGTGAGAAAAAGGAGGAACGTTGATTTGTGTGGCACAGTTCCTTTTTAAGCTGGTAATCATGTCGTCTGAGATTGGATTTGGGTGCCATTTCAAAAAACGTTTCCCAGTCGACATCCAGATTAAGTCCTTTTATCAACTGGAACGTTGCTATGAGGTCACCTCTGTCCTGCCCGTAGTGAAGGGGATAGAGGTTCAAGGCCGTCAGGCGCTGCTCGTACGTGAAGTTTTCGAGGCCATGAACAACCTTTGTGGCACGCCGTTGTACACCTTCAAGGATATCTATATCCTTCCGAAGCCACGGCCGCCAAGCCTGTACCGCATATTCCAGGTGCGGCCGCACAAATGTCCCGTATACTTTGCCAAAGACATCTTTATTCAAGTGAATAAACGTTCTGCGTATCGCGCTCATAACGGACATTGCCCGCGCAGCGACTTTAGAACACTGCGTGGTGACGCTTAGATCGTCTTTAATGAACACACCGAGATCTTTTTGCACATCTACGGTTTTAAGTGGTTGATTGTCCAGGAGATA